TAAAATACACGTAAACTTTGATTATTATTTTTTTTTTAAATATCTATATCTCAGCCGCATTTTATGCTATTGGATTGTTTCAAAAAAGGATTTACTCGTAATCAAAAGTTCTACAAAAATGCTTTATGTGCCATAGCCACATGTAGGATGGTACGGGTCACTAAATCTTATTTTAATGAAAAATCATCATATTTTTGAAGATATTTCAAAAGTGACTGGATTCTTTGAAAAAATGTAAAGAACAAACTTGTAGAAAATTTAATTTTTTTAAAAAAGGTCCTATCAGTTGAATCGCTAAGATTGATATTTCTTGAGATATAAAGCGTTTACATTGACAATTTATGAAATTTTTAGGATTTTCGTATCAAACTTTGTATAAATTATTATTTTCAATTGTTTATCAGTAAAATTTCATGTAATTACGTTTTTTCTACAGTCGGGTGATTAGAGAAAAATAAATAACTAAAACAATCAAGCATAATTATTAATAAAATAACATGTTGTATGTAATACACCTCGTTATATCAATTTTTAGGTTAGATATCTTTTTTCTTTAAAGTTATGTTATTAATAATTATGCTAGATTGTTTAAGTTATTTATTTAGATATAACAATTATTGCAATCTCGAATATCTCGGAAACGGTTTATTTTACCGAAGTTTGAGAGGTTTTAATTGTAGCCGAACTGTGTAATCAAAAAATTGTATCCAACCCAAACCCAACCTTAAAGTTTATATGGTACAATAAGCTTAAAGCAACCCCCGTTTCTACGACACTGTGTTTACTCAAACAATAATTGTAATTATGTGTGAATATGTGTTTTGGTAGCAAGTGACTGTTCGCAAGATATTACCTTTCCAAGTAGAAGTAATATTAAAAAAACTGATATTATAAGGAACACTTTATCACCCTGTAACTTGGAAACATAAATAATTAGGTAAAATATTTATTTAGATTTTTGTCTTATTTTGACTTTCTCAATCTTTTCCTAAATTTATGCCAGTAAGTTTAGGGACACCATGTATAATATAATATGTAAAGTATGTACTATTGCGGCCGATAAAAAGTAATCGACTAATTTTCCCGTTGTAAATATGGTTGTCACCAATGGCATTTTAAAAATAATTTTATAAAATTAAGTAACGTCATCTTAAATTAAGTAAATCTTAAATTAAGTAAAGTCATTATTTAATTATGCCTTACCATACTTTAAGTGAAGCAGAGAAAGGCTATATTATCGCCAAAATTGGAGAAGGATGGTCTCAACAACAAATAGCAGATGAAATAAACTGCAGCAAAAGCGCTATTTAAAAATTAAACAAAAACTGGATGGAAAATGGTGACCAGAGTAGGGTAATGGGTTCTGGGCGTCCAAGAAAGACAACTCCAGTAAACGACAATGAGTTGGTTGAATATGTGAGGCAAAACCCATTTTCTAACTCCATTCAAGCCAAAGAGGAAACCAACTTCCCAGCATCTGTTAGGACGGAAAGACAACGGTGGCGAGAACAAGGTTTATTTAACTGCGTGAGAGCTAAAAAGCCTCGCTTCCCTGCTTAAACTACCTGAGAGACTCTATTCAAACCGATAAATATTTGTATCAGGATGTATGGTATTTCTATAAGGTGTATCGGTATGTATAGAACCCATAGTTGGGATTTATGGTTGTTCTATAGGGACATCCACCCTTGATTTATTTGCTATTGGTTTCTATGCGGAAAATACACATAAATTTAGAAATTAGTTTTTCCCCCATAGAAACCCATAGGTTTTAACAAAATTTTGTCAAATGTTTTATGGTTGTTCTATAGGGATATCCCTATATATCCTTCATTGAGTTATTTGCTACCGGTCTCAATAGGAAAAATGAATAAGTTTTGGTGTGCCTATAGGTAATTTCCTATAAATTTTCTATCGGGCCGTATCCGGAAAAAAACATGGACAAATGCACATATTGAATCCGGTAGCGCCCGATAGATTATTTTATATAGGGTATTTTAAGCAGGGTTGACGGAAGTTAATAAAGATGCAAGAGTGGAGTTTGCATATTGGGAGCGAGTAGTCTTTTCAGATGAAAAAATATTTCAATCCTGCTACAATGGGCAACTGCGAGTTTATCGTCCCAGAAACCATAAGTTTGATGAAGAATACATCCACAAAACTGACAACAGCGGAAGATTTTCTGTCCACGTGTGGGCGTGGATATCATCTTCAGGGGCTGGTATAATTCATATTGTAGAAGGCCGATTAACTGGGAACCGATACGTGGAAATTTTAAACGATGTAATGCTCTCGTCAGTGCAAGAAAGATTTGATAATGATTTTGTGTTTCAACACGTAACACTTAATGATTTATCTTTCCTGATAAAAACAAATATATTTTTTTTATTTTAAGGATAACTCGCCAGTTCACACTGCTCATGTGGTTTATAATTGGCTAGAAGAAAATCACATTACAACGCTCAAGAAGCCCCGATTTAAACCCAATCGAAAATATTTGGGGATATCTCGTAAAAAAAATATATAAATATGAATTTAGACCAAGAAATAGAGAAGACCTTATTAATGCAATTCAAAATTAGTGGAACAATTTAGAAGAAAATTACGATATGCAAAATTTAATTAGTTCCATGCCTAGGAGATTACAAAATGTTATAGAGAAGAATGGTGGTTCTACCAAGTATGAATTATTTTTTTTAAATGGAGTTTTTATAGCATTACAAATGTGTAAGATTATATAAGATAATGCCCGAAGGAGGTCTGAATGAAAAAATTGCCAGGGCCGGTTTTTCTGAGCCCATCCAACCATGGTTGGCTCATCTTTTATAATTGTTATAGTCGTAGTATACTATTTCTTTTTAAGTTTAAATTTATTTATTTTGGTCGCCCAATAAATAGTTTGTTCTTTTTCTTTGTATTACGAATAAACATGCTTTATATAATTTAAGTTTTTTTTAATAAAAAATTAAATATGTCATACACCTATGATTTCTTGTCAAAATAATTTAATTGACATGACTGACGTAAAAAACCCTACTTACAATAGCCAATTTTTAGGAAAAACATGCAACTTGATAAAAAATGGATTACTTTTTATCGGCCGCAATAGTACATACTATTATATAATATAATATTTCTCATAAAAATAACATTTTATTAATAAATATGCTGAACAATTCACATTAGGGTGATTAAAAAAAATATCTATTCTTTTTTTTTATTTTGATGGCTACCTCAAAAGAAGCCTACCTAAGTATAAGCTCTTACTATTAAGAGTAAGATACTCCTCTCTCTTAAAATGAATTAGTCAAAAATTGTAAGCCATATTTGACTAATTGTCATAGTGAAAAAGCAGCCACTAATGATTAGTTAAATTCGACTGAATGAAATAGTCAAATTAGTAGATATAAATTTAAAACCCAGCCGGGGATTGAACTCAGGTCTGTCGCCTGTCAAGCTTGTCAAGCAACCAATGTGGCTATTAGTCAATCTTATAAAAATCAATTTTATTTATCAATAAATATTGTTCATAATATTTTAGAGTTGAATATATTATTTGTGTTGCTGTTTTGAGCTAAACTTTTTGCATCTTTGTTGGTTTATATGGACCATTTAACCACGGGGCCTATATCCATTTAATTCAAATAATACTTTGTTGTTGGCCGCAAACGATAAGAAATTAGTTACTTTTAACTCTCAGAAATGGTCAAAGATGGTAACTAATCTTAAATTAGTCAAACTTTAACTATTTTCATAGTAAAAAATTAGCTATTTAAAAGTGAAAACGACTATTTTATTAGTAAAAAATGCTGGTACTAATTAAAATAGTAGAATTTTGACTATTTCATTTTAAGAGAGCTCATTGCAATATTTTATTTTCGCATTAGTCCGATAAAAAACATTTTAAATGCTCTACAAAAAATGTATTTTATGTTTTTTTCGTAAACCTATCCATTTAAAAGATATACTAGGTAAAAATTTAAAAAGTTATGAAAAAAAAATGTTTTTTCAGAACTTAAAAACTTGCTGAATAGATGGGATTTTAAAATTGGATCTACATTTTTTTTTTGGAAATTAACTAATCCTCAAAAAGTTTATTTTTGTTTTGACGATAAATTATGTAAGCGTTTTAAAGATAATCGCGCTAGCGAAATAGTAATAGATTTTGTAAAATATAAAATATATACCGTATAGTTTAGTGACAAGGATTTTTTTTACTTTTCTCCTGAATAGTTGATTGCTTTAAATTTTGTAATAAAATTATTTATTTGACAAAAAATGGTTTAAGTGTCTTTCATCCAAGATGCTCGGATACAGGAATAGTTTTTAAAAAATTAATATTTTGATGTGAAATTTAAGAAAAAAATGTAAAAATGGTTAAAGACTTATTTTAATTAATAAGAGCCATATTATAGCTTATATAGCTCATATAATGAACTATCGTCTCGGTAAAACAAATATATAGTTGAAATATGGCCTTAATCGATCAATCAGAATAGACGCTCCAAATTTTTTCTAAATATTTTTTTAATTGATAAGATTAATATAAAATTCTATGTTAATTATTTAAAAACTTTATTGTTTTCTTTATTTTTGGTATTATTTTTTAAAATTCAAGAAATATTTTTTGTTTTTTATCTATTATTATTAATAATTAAATTTAATTTTATCTTTGATATTTAAAGATTTTTTATTTTTATATAATCCTACATGTCGATTTTTTAAAAAGTTGTCAAACAAAATTATTAATATATAATAAATTATATATGTAAATATTATGTTATAAAAAAGATAATATGATAAATGTTCCTCTGTTTTTAAAATTTATGAACCCACAAAATCTTATAAAACTTATTTATTCTCCTGCTTTTTCGAATTTAAAAACTAAAACAATATTAACCTTATATTTTGTAAATAAGAAATAAATGCGTTTCTTATAGGGAGCGCGTTTGTATTTGTTTTGATTACTTTTGCCTAATCTTACTTTCCTTTCATTACAGACGTACCGCAGGAAGACCCCACGATGATAATTGAAAAAGATCCGCTGGAAATTGGATACACAATAAAGGGGAACTGCACATCCCCACCCTCGTATCCACGTGTCAATATCACGTGGTTTCTCAACGGAAAAAAGGTACAGTAATTTATTATCACGCCCATAATGGTCCGAATTTTGAAAAATTACACGTTTTTTACTTGAATTACTTATTTTTACTATTTTTTTTTCTTTTTTCCAAAATTCTTGACAAAACAGAGTTAATTTTTTTAGTATTTTTCTAAAATAAATTTAGGTACTAGTGGGAAAAATGGCAATGGTTTGATGCGCAAGCGAAGCGAGCGTGGCAAGAATGTTCATAGACCATTTTTCACGAGTTGCAAAAATTATGTTGTCCTACAGTCGCCTGTTGTATACTATCATAAAATCTATATATAAATTATTAAATAATTTTCTGACGCCAATCTTTCAAACCTTAATATACACGTTTGCACTGCCTTTTGGGCAATAATTCCCAATCTAATTTATATTGTATGTATGTATATTATACTCATATTTTGTTATTCCTGAAAATTAATCACATTAAAAAATGTTGAATTCGCCTCTTTATAAATTGTTTAAACATTATTTTAATGATTATTTTCAAATAGTTATAATAGTGTTTTATGTATAAAAGTTTGATACACGCCATTTTAGCCCTTGACTAAAACGCCATAAAGCCACAACTTAATTTGTATTTAAAATATCACTTAGTGTCATGGAAACATGTACGATAAAGGGCGTTTTAACGGTGGGAGTATAAAAATACATTTATTTATTTAAAACCTAAATTATTTAACTTAATCTACAAAATATAATATATAATATAATATTTCTTTTAAATATAACATAATATAGTGTTTTAGTATGACCGTAAAACATTCCTAATTAATGCAAAAACCCAAATTTGTTGAGCAGTGTTAACAAAACATGTTGGCACACTTTTCATGATAAATTGGTAGAGGTGTTGTTGTCACTTATGTATACAGGAGAGGACGGTATGTATGAGGGGGTGGTATGGGGGTGGCGACCCCTATCGCCGGGTGTCGACAATACTTGATAATAAAACAAGCCGGACGGCTAACGTAATTTCGCTGTGGACATGCGGAATGCATAACAAGCGGCCAACTGTAGATATACGTACTTATGGTTACGATTCACATTGGGATAGTATGGAAAAAAGTTTAAATTTTTTTAATAAATTAAAAAAACATATTTTTATTATTATATTAAGCATTCTTAATACAGTTATGTCTAGCCTAAATTTAGTCCTAATTTAGACAAGTACTATTGTCCACACCTCAAAGTCCCACCACGTGACCACGTGGTTATGTATCTGTCAAAGTAAAGTCAATGAAAGAAATAATATTTATAGCGTTACCACTTATGTTTAAGCGTTAAAAGTTAATAAATCTTTATAGTATCACAATAACAATGGTTGGTTTAAGAATTTAGGAATATAAAAACTGCATTTAATGAAATTCCACAGTGTAAGGTGCAATATAAGTGATATTTTTGTGCATTGGGTCTACATTTCTCCATAAAATTTAACTAAACAGCATTTATTAAAAAAAAAATCTTTTTTTATTATGAAATAAGAATATCTGTATCAAAGGTAGGTTAATGTATTAGAACAAAAAATATAATCTAATTTTGTATTTTAAGGTTAGAAAAATCTATTTTGACCAAAATAAATAAGTGGATTATTTGGAAGAGAGTGTTAATATGGTCATAAATAAATATAGGTATACTAAATAATTGTTGAATATGGTTCAAATTTAATTGAAACTTTTGTAATTCTAATGACAAAACTTGTGCATACCTCTCGGCATACCTACTTTAAGTTAGATTATAAGAAAACAAACAATTTTTAGAGAAACTTGCAATGTGAAAATATTTAATACTCCCATGACATGTGATTTATTAAAATTTTTAAAGTTATAATGATTTTTTGATGTAGATCAAATTCAGTCGAAGCTTTTTAACTATTTGTATTGACAAAACTTTATGTAGGTACACTTTAAGCTGGATGAGAAAAACTACCACATTTTTAAATACCATATTATACAGTCTTTTAAATAATCCAAAATACTTATTTATTTTGGTCAAAATAAATTATTCTAACATTAAAATTACAAAATTAGATGATATTTTTGTTATAATATATTAACCTACCTTTAAAACAGATATTCTTATTCCATAATGGAGAAGCTAGATTTTTTTTAATAAATGCCGTTTAGTTAAAATTATTTTATGGAGAAAACCAGATATTTGGACCAAATTCACAAAAATATTACTTATTTTGCACCACACACTTTAGAATTTCATTAAATGCAGTATTTATATTCTTAAATTCTTAAACCATCCATTGTTATTGTAATATTATAAAGATTTATACATTTTTAACGCCTAAACATAATATTATTTCTTTCGTTGCCTATACTTTGACAGATACATAACCTGAAAAGCCTTATATGCCAAATTTTCAAAAGACTGCGTTCCATACGTGGTCACGGGGTGGGACTTTGAGGTGTGGAGCATAGTACATCTAACAAAAGCAGAACTTTTGAAGACAGTTATATCTGGCTTTAGTTGATATTCTTAATATTATACAATAAAAGAGAATGGAGTTTCATGCATAATTTAAAAACTGGTTTCTAAATATCATTAATTAAAATAAATAGATTTATTACCTTAAAAAGCAAATTTTAAATCTTTATTAATAATATAGATGTTAACCTGTCAAAGGCTCTCCCAGTCTTTTTCTTGTCACTATAACTTTTACTACCACCTTTGTTTTTTAATATTAAAACCGACGTTTTTAAAATCGGTAAACCTCTCTGGGTAGCATGACGTCCCGATTTAATAGTATACCGTAAATACGGGTGACTTTGCACCCCGCGGGTGACTTTAACCCATTTATGAAAAATCTTTTCGCGCTCGATAAAATTAACATTTATAATTTTTTGGTCTAAACCTGTCAATTGAGCGATTCTATTGAGTTTATATTACAGGAAAATCAGTGTTTTAAAGAAAGAAATGGGATTTATTACACTTTAAAATTGTATATATCGTATCAGTGCAAAACTCTAGAAATACACGCGTTACAATTTCTATATTATGCGCAATCCATTGGAATGATGATCCTTGGTTAACTACAGGTCGATTTTTTATTTTTTTTATTGGTAATCCCTTGCAATAGATATATGTCGCTGCTAACACGTGTCTAATAAAAATAAAATATAATATTACATTCATTTTATACTGAAAAAACACTGTGAGACAAAGTAACCCGCAACCAGGGGGTAACTTTGCACACCCAGTTTTTAATGTTTATTTTTGAAACTCAGCCCTATGTAATATTATAACATAGTTATTATAAAAGAGCAACTCAAGACTCAAATTTTGGTATACAAAATTTAATGTTTATGATTGTTAAAACCACAAAAATTTTAAGCTGAAGTTTGAAAGTGAGCCAAAGCCACCCGTGTTTACGGTAAGTGATATATTGCTATACTCGTAGGTATAATAGGCGTGTCAAGATTTATAAGTTATAATATTTTTACTTCATTTATTTACTTTGAAGAATATTGAACATAACCTAGAAACCAAGGACTAAGACCGTGCGTTAAACTGATGTTGATTCCTTCGTAATTTTTGACACATCTGTCATCTAAAAGTTTTGAAGCTTGCGTTTTTCAAAACGCTGTATCGTTCTAAAAAAAATTAAATTGATAACAAACTTGTCTGGGTAGATTTAAAATAAACAATAAAAAAAATGCATAACACAACCCTATCACAACAAAGGATACCGACACTAAAATATTACGACATACCCAAACTATCACAGATCGGAGGGTTATATCTAGTTTAAGTTGACATCCTACCTCATGTTACCATTTTGAAGATAGTTATAGTATTTACCTTGAGTTTAAATTTAAATTTTTTTAAGTTCTTAGAACATTAACTGTCTAAATCCAAATAGGAAAACCACTTTATATTATATATAGGTAATTATAATATAAACAAACGTAATGAAATAAAACGCTTTAAGGCACTTTAAATCAATCGGTGAGAATAAGAATAGTACAAGTCCAAAAATTTAATTTTGACAAGTCATTTTCTTAAATCAATTTTAAAGTTCAAAATACATTTTACTTTACAAAATATGAATATTATATTATAGTTAAAATATTCTCACATAAATGCTATTTTTTTATATTTTGTCAAAATTTTAACTATTGGACTTGTACTGTTCTTAATCTCACCGACTTAAATATTGTTTTCATTTATATCAAAAATAATACAAAGCGCTTTTTATTTCTTAGTTTTCGTAAATGAACAAAACAATAAAAATGTCGATATTTTTAATTGTATAAATAGGTAGTTTTTTCACAAAAAGAGAGGAAGGCAGAAGTCTTTCTCGACAAATTTTGTTCGGAAATTTTCAATTGCACAACTAAATCGCGCACGTTATTTGTGTTTAGCGTGGCAAGTTAAAACTGCAAAACTTGGGTTTAGTACTCGATTTCGATTTATTATTCCTTATATCTTTGATTAAGAAACTATAGGGATGAAATTTTAGTTATTTTACCTTTTTTCAACCGATGTTACTATTTGAAAACCAATAATGCCAAAATTTGTTTTGAAAGATTTTCTTTTAAATGAACCTAGCTTGTTTTCACCTTTTTTACCTTTTTTGGAGTTTTTGCTTTAAACTACCTTTTTTATACTTTTGTGATCTATTTTTTTAACTTGTTTTCACCTTTTTTACCTTTTTTGGAGTTTTTGCTTTAAACTACCTTTTTATACTTTTGTTACAAATTTTTTAATTTGTCAGTTTATTTTCACCTATTTGTTACCTATTTTTACGTATTTTGACTTATTTTTTTGTTTTTTTGTGATCATTTTAAATTTTGCGCCAATATTTTATCCAGGTCGTGCAACTCAACGGTATAGAATTTTTTCTTATGGTCACATACTGTAACAGTAACCTTCTTTGTAGCGAGCTTATGTTCTGTCATAGAACTTCTGTGTAGTGAGTGTCACTCAGTGAAACACATGTGTTTATTGCATATAAATAGTTTATTGTGGGTATGTTCTGTGTT